GGGCAGCGCTCCGGCTCCGCTTCCAGCTCCCCGGCACCCCCTGGCACTGGCCGCCCTGGGCGGGGGGAACTGCCCCAGCAGCGGGCGACTGCAGGGCCGGTGCCAGAGGGCGTGGGAGCCCGGCGCTGCTGTGGCGGGTGCGTATTTTTAGCCTGCTGCTCTGTGCCACAGGGTCAGAGGAAAAGGCTAATTCTCACCTTGGGCTGCCTGGGCTTGGGCCGGGGCCAGCGCTGCCCCACACCCCCGTCCATTGCAGCCTGACTCACATGGGGCAGGACCGGAGCTGCCATGTCCGTCTGTCTGTCCCCCATCGACACCGGCCGGCCCCGAGCCCTCGTCCTTCCCAGTGGTGCCATCCCCTGCCTCGGAGCCAGAGCGGTGAGAGCACCCCCAGCCCCTCAGGGGCCTCCCTCCTGCGTGGGGCCGTGCCCCTCTGAAACATTAACGTGGGCACCACATGCTCTGCGAGCAGGGCAGGCAGGGTGGTGCCGGCTCCTGTCCCTGGTCAGCCGCGCCGGCAGGTCCTTCCAGTATTTCTGCAGCGCCGCCTGGGCCCAGACAGCACGCTGCCGGCTGGCTCCCGGCCAGGGCAGGGCCGGCCCCGTGCACCACCGGGATGTGCAGGTGAGCAGTGGCCCTGGTTCAGTGCTCTCGCTGAGCCGGGACACTGTCAGGCTGCAGCTGCGCAGCGGGGCCGGCCAGCTGGGCAAGGCGAGTGCTGGCCCTGGCAGTGCCTGCAGCTGCTTCTCTGCCTGGCTGCTCGCTCCAGGAGCTGTGCAGGTGGCGTCAGTGCAGGAACAGCCTTTATTAAAGCAAAATAACCTACAAAAATATAGATACAGCCTGTGCCCCAGGCCTGATCTGGCGAAGGAGGAACAAGGCTCCTGCCCAGGGCAAGGACTAGCTCAGCCACACAGAGCCTTTGGCCACAGGGGTCACGTGCTCCCAGCTCTTCGGGCCAGGCCTGTTCCAAGCCCCCAGGTTCGCTCTCATCCTCCTCCGAGCGAGCGTTCCTCCCGTGGGCGGAGGTTCCCTACCAGCGCCGCGCGCAGCTGCCCCAGTCCCATCCTGGGCCAGGGCACGTGGTGGAGTGGAGGCTGTCCCCCCCCAAGGGTCTTCAGAGGCAGTGCGGCAGAGCTGCTTCCGCTGAGGAGTGCAGCGGGTGCGTGTGCAGCCAGTGTGACGACTCCACCGCGGCTGGGCAGCGCTGAGGGGTGCTAAACGTGGGCACGGCAGAGACAAGCCCTGCCGGCGTGCGTGGAGGTGGCCGTGGGACCCTCCTGTCCCCTGGGAGGACGTCACTGCTCCTGCGTGCCCCAGGAGATGTAGTCGGGGCGGGTGGCCGCGTGGTACTCGTCGATCAGCTGCTGCACAATCTCCCGGGAGTTGTCCAGCTCGTCGAAGTTGTCCTTGAAGATGTCCTCCTTGCGGAACTGCTCCAGGAAGGCCTCCCGCTTGCGCAGCTTGTCATACTGCCGGCACGTCCGCTCAAACAGCTGGAGAGCAGCGCAGCGGTCAAAGGGGCCATAGCTCCCTGGGGATCCCGTGGGGCGGGGGGGGGCCCCACCTCCCCAGTCCTCAGGCTCCTGCCTAGGAGGAGGCAGGCAGGCAGCCCCAGGCCAGCAGGTCAGTAGCTGCTACCCTGCACCCAGCCAGCACTCAGGATCAGCTCATGCTTCCGAGGCTGCCTTTGGCCAAGGAGAGGGAGTCCTGCTGCAGCCTGCTCCTGGGAGAACGGCACCAGGGGTGCAGCAGGGCTGACGGGACCCCAGACCAGGCCTGCTGTGCCCCAGCTGGGAGCTGCCCGCCCTCCCCTCATCTGCAGGCCCTGCCGTGGCTTTGTGAAAGCCCCAGAGAAGACGCGTTTTTGACTGAAAGGACAACAGAGCTGCAGCTGTGGGGCCCCAGCGCTGCCTGCGGTGTAGAGGGAAGGCACTCACCGAGGAGATGTTGGTGTGGTTTGCCATCATGAGGCCGCTGACGCGGTGTGCAGACGGCAGGTAGGGTGACTTGCGGGACAAAGCCACCTGGATGCTGGCAGGACCCCAGGGGATGAAGTTGGCCAGCTTCCTCTCCCGGATCCGCTGCAGACTCTTGTGAACCTGGCAGGATGAGAGCAGCAAGGGGCAGCAGGACGATGGGCAAAGCAGACCCAGGAGCTGCTCCTCACACGACATACGGCCTCAGGAAGGTGGATTTCAGCAAACAGCAGGTAGGGAGGCTCCTCACGGCGAGGGGCTAGCAGCTTTTCCACGAGGCCAGGGCCCATACAGGAACAACTTGGAGCAGGTTCTCAGGCACCGCTCAGTCTCACCCCAGGGTCCCCGCACATGAAGATGGTGACCGTGCCCTTCCCTGGCAGGCCATGCCATTTCCATCGGCACCTGGAACGGCCATAGGAGCTCACCTGTGTAGGATCCACCTCCCCCTGGATGATGTTGAGGATGGCGATGTAGCAGTGGTTGGTCTGCCTGTCTCGCCCTGTGGACACCATCACGTTTTTAGGCTGCAGCAATCTTCTCATCACATCCAGGACTGTGGTTTTCCTCACGCTAGCCACCTGCAAACGCCAGCTGGGGGTCAGAGGGAGCGGGCATGCTGCTCCCTTGCCCTCCCACTGCCCTGCACACACACACACACACAGGAGTGGAGAGCCAGTGGACAGAGAAGCCCTCGCCCCGGGGATGGAGCCACGTGCAAAGCCGCATGCAGGGCAGGGAAATCCCAAAGTCACACAACAGGCGCAGCCAGGCTGAGAACCGGAGCACTGGCAGAGGCTCCAACACAAGGGCACTGAGCTGCCTTCCCCGTCAGCACAGCAGGGGCTGGGGCGAAGCTCAGCTGAGGCCACAGTGACAGGGATGCGTTTCATGTCGTTGCTGTCAAACTTCTGTTCCACTGCTGGGGCAAGGAGCAGGGCTGGAGGACAGGAGAGGGGGCCGTTCCCCACCTCGCCCTGCACTGAGCCTGTGGGCAGACCGACCACTGCAGTCCCTGAGGGCTGTCACAGGCTTTGCCCAGCTGCTGCCTGCCAAGGGGGCCACAGCCAGGGCTGGCACCCGAAGGAGTGCCCGTAGCAAGGACAGCTCGGTGGTGTGGCAGCCCCACTCCAGG